GTTAACGAGGATGTGGAGGGAGTTAACGAGGACGTGGAGGGAGTTGGAGAGGACATGGAGGGAGTTAACGAGGACATGGAGGGAGTTAACGAGGACACGGAGGGAGTTGGAGAGGACACGGAGGGAGTTATAGAGGACACGGAGGGAGTTGGAGAGCACATGGAGGGAGTTAAAGAGGACACGGAGGGAGTTAAAGAGGACATGGAGGGAGTTAAAGAGGACATGGAGGGAGTTAAAGAGGACATGGAGGGAGTTAACGAGGACATGGAGGGAGTTAACGAGGACATGGAGGGAGTTAACGAGGACATGGAGGGAGTTAACGAGGACGTGGAGGGAGTTAATGAGGACGTGGAGGGAGTTAGAGGACATGGAGGGAGTTAACGAGGACATGGAGGGAGTTAACGAGGACATGGAGGCATTGAGTCAGTGTTGCTGGGTGTGGGGGTCTAACCTCGGCCTGGACAGCTGCGGTCTCCATCTGCTTCTGCTTGAGGGCCATCATCAGATGGTCCCTCTCCTGCTGGAACATCACGCCCTTCTCCTGCGTGGACGTCAGCTCGTCCAGGAGCTGCTTCAGCTCACTGCAGTCCCCCTGCAGCAGATCCACGTCCATTACCAAACACTCGTGGAACAACAGGAAGCTGAAGGAAACGGAGGACTGACCGTTTGCTTGTCGTGGAGCATCCTCTCCACCGCGGCGGCCTTGTCGCTCACGGCGCTCAGCTCGAACTCCTTCTCTCGGAGGAGCAGGGACACCTGCATGTTGGTCTCCTGCAGAGCTCTGAACTCAGACTCCTTCTCTCGAGAGCGTGCGGCCACCTGCTCGTTCTCCTCCTTCAGGCTCCTGGACTCCAGCTCCAGAATGAGGGCGCGCTCCTTCAGGTTGGTCACGGCCTGCTTCAGCACCTCGTTGTCGTTGTCGCGGTTCTGCAGAGCCTGGCTCACGTGGACCAGCTGGTCTCCTTTGGTTTTGATGAGCAAGTCTTTGTCCCGGACCGATCTCTGCAGGGACTCCAGTCTCTCTCGGAGCTGCCGGACCTCCTCGGCTCGATCGCTCTCGGAGCTGCAGAGCCGGTGGTTGTTCTCTTGAAGAGTTCTGATCAGGTTCTCCTTGTCGGTCAGCTGAGCTTGCAGCTGCTCCAGCTCCTCCTGCAGCTTGTTTGAAGGTGAGGCAGACTGTTGGATCGAGGCCTCAGCTGGGACTGAAGGGCCGACCATGAACTCAGGAGTCGGGGCTACACTGTCCAGTTTATCCAGCAGGACATCCTTGGTGGAGCTGAGCTGGCTGATGGTCTGCTGAACCTGAGCCAGTTCAAGGCTCAGACCTCCCAGCTTCTTCTCCTTCTGCTCGTAGCTCTGAACGAGCTGAGCGTAGTCCACGAACAGCTTGGAGCTGCAGTCGCTGTCAGCAGACACCTGGCTCTGAAGCCTGAGGAGCTCCTCATGCAGCTGAGCAGACTCGTGCTGCATGTTCTTCACGGTGGTGATCACCTGCTGCTTCCACTCCTCCATCTTCTTCACCTGCTGCTTCAGCGCGTCCCTCTCCGTCAGCAGTTCCTGGAACTGGTTGCTGCTGACGCCTCCAGAGGCGGCGCCGTGCTCTCCTCCGGACGCCTGCAGGACGGTCACCAGGGTTTGGCACTTCTGGGTCAGAGCGTCGATCTCGATGTCCTTCTCCCTGATGATCCGAGACAGATTCTGGATGGTCTCCTTGAACATCTCTTGGCTTCCTGAGGGATCGCTCATGTTGGAGAGGCGCCAGTTCTCCTGCTGAAGCTTCACTAAAGCAGCTTCCTTCGCAGCAACAACGTCCACGAGGCGGTGGTAGTCGGAGCGCAGCTGCCCATTCTCCCTAGTCTTCTCGTTGAGCACGGCTAACATCTGCTCTCTCTCCACAGCAAACGTCTGGAGCTGCTGCTGAAGGTACAGCACATCCTGGTTGTGGCCCCCTCCCATGGAGGCTCTGGCCTGGAGCTCCTGGATTTCCAGATCTTTCTGCCGAACCACTTGCGAAAGCTTCCCCACTTCATCACGAGACACCAGCAGCTGGTCCAGCTGCCTGCCCAGCGCCACGTTCTTCTCGTTCAGCTGGATGATCTCAGTCTCCTTCTCCTTGATGCCCCTCACCAGGCGTTCCACTTCCACCTTCGACAGGTCGTGCTTCTCGTTGCCGTGCTCCTGACTGAGGGCCTTGTGCTCCTGCAGGATGACCTCTCCTTGCGGAGCAGGGAAGCGGCTGAGGGTTTGATGCTCAGTCAGCTGGTCTACAGTTTGCTGCAGGAGACGGATCTCCTCGTCTCGGGCGTGGACGAGTCTATCAGAGTGGAGCGTCGCCTGCTGGTGCTGAGCCTGGGCCTGTTCCAGCTCACCTCGCTGCTCCTCCATGGTTATCCTCAGAGTCTGAACCTCTTCTTCCAGAGACGTCTTGAAGGACTTCAGCTGGGCGATCTCGGCCTCCAGTTCTGTGATGATGTCCAGGGTCTTGGGCTCTGCCAGAGGTTGAGGTCGGCTCTGCTGATCCTTGAGGCGATCGAGCTCCTCCTTCAAATGGCTGTTCTCCTCCTTCATCCCTCCCAGCTGCCTGTCCTTGTCTTCCACCGCCTGTTTAAAGCCTTCAGCTTCTTTGGCCATGACTGAAATCCTGTTCTCCATCTCAGCCTGTAAATCTGCAGCATTTTGTTTTAAGGTCTCCACGAAGACATCCTTCTCCTGCAGCAGGTCCGTCAGCTGCTTCTGGCCCGTGACGGTGATGGAAAGCATCTCGTTGGTGTCGCTGTGGTCAGACGCCAGCTGCTCCAGGTCTCTTCGGAGCTTTGTGATCTCCAGCTCCTTCTCTTGGTTCAGTTTGATAGCGGCCTCGTGTTCGGTCTGTAAGGCCGAGGCGTCCATGGAGCGAGCTCGGGTCAGCTCCTCGATGGTCTGCTGGTACTGCTTCACCTGTTCTGTCAGCGTCCGTTCAGCTCGCAGCAGCTCACCTTCCAGCTGCTGCTTCTCCAGCCTCAAAGCTTCAATCCGGGTCTCCTTCTCCCTCACGGTTCTGTTCAGGGCCGTTTGGCTTTCTTTCAGCTGCTGGGTTAGCTCTTCGACTTCACCCAGAGCATCGTCACACTTCTCCCTCAGCCTCCTGGAGTCCATCTTCATCTCATACTCCTCAGACATGGCCTTTTCATACGAGCTCCTCATTTGATCCAGTTCCCTCCTGAGGTCCGATACCTCCTTCTCCTGCAGCTGCTCCTCAGCACCTCCCTCACTTCTCTGGTCCAGCTCTGCTTTAGCAGCAGCTAGCTGCTCGTCTCGTCCCTGCAGGGTCTTCTTCAGCTCTGCAACTTCTCTCCGTGCTTCTCCACTCTGCTCCTGAGCAAGTCCCAGTTTGACCTTCAGCTCCTTCAGCGTTTGCTGCAGCTGCTGCTTCTCCACGTGCAGCTCATTGAGGGCGAAGGCGCTCCGACTCAGGTTCTCCTTCTGGACCTGCAGCTCCTGCTCCAAAGCTCTGCTCTGTTCGTTGGTGGCATCTCGTTCTGAAGAGACTCTCATGAGCTCGGCCTCAACCTCCTTCAACTGCTCCTTCACCGAGACCACATGCTGCAATAGTGAATATTAAAGAAACAACAGTGAATATTAACAAAGCAACAGTGAAAATTAACGAAGCAACAGTGAATATTAACGAAGCAACTGTGAAAATTAACGAAGCAACAGTGAAAATTAACGA